CCGAAAAAAAGGTTTGGCCATAGTTCTCTTTTAAGAACGTATTAATTTAATCAATAACGAGATGTAGTAATTTGTTAGGGGGGGGGGGGTTATATATGCCTGGAATTCAGCTTTTTTTTTTTAAATGTGATGTGGTGGCTACAGAAAACAGTCCAGCCACAACACACGAGATGTCATTGTAGGAACTGACATTCCTGCTGATAGGTCATTTTATAACTGTGCCGAATGTCTATGTTCAGTCTTAGTGCTAGGCTCCTTGATACTCTCCAAGGCGATAACCCAAAAATTATTTATCGTAACAGTCCTGTACATGGGCCACATAAACAACAGCAGTCAAAATTTTCTCTCTGGCCCTATGCTCCAAATCCACCTTTTACTACTGAGAAAAATGCACTAATAACTTTTCGTAACATTAGCACCCTTCCTCTATAGAGGAACTAGCACCCTTCCGTGATGGACTACAATCTCAATACAAATTAGTAAACTAAACATGAGATTGTAGTCCATCATGGGAGCGAGCTTGGCGTGGTGACTATGCACCCTTCCTCTATAGAGGAACTAGCACCCTTCCTCTATAGAGGAACTAGCACCCTTCCTCTATAGAGGAACTAGCACCCTTCCTCTATAGAGGAACTAGCACCCTTCCTCTATAGAGGAACTAGCACCCTTCCTCTATAGGAGGAACTAGCACCCTTCCTCTATAGAGGAACTAGCATCCTTCCTCTATAGAGGAACTAGCACCCTTCCTCTATAAAGGAACTAGCACCCTTCCTCCAGCAAATACACCAAACATGACTTCTCATAGAGAGTATTTATTGCTATAATTAACTTTTGAAACCTCACAACTCATAGCCTTATTACAATTAGGGGTAAAATTACAATCCCTCCAAAAAATAGATACAAACAGTAAAGTAGATAAAGCTTTGATGGTCAGTAGATCCAATCTTTGGTTTATTTAATGCGATACTAAACTCAGGAGTGAAATCTTACAAATGCATTCAAGTATCATAACCATTAACAAAACTGTATCTTATGTGTGTATCACTCGGCTGTAGATCCTCAAATCATCTCTGAATTCATGCTGACACTGTCCTTCCTTCTGGAGGGTGTCTACTTTTGTTCCCCATGATCCCTGTGTGTGTTGTAAAGTAGTCACCGCTCCAAGCTCACAATTCCGTGATGGACTACAATCTCAATACAAATTAGTAAACTAAACATGAGATTGTAGTCCATCATGGGAGCGAGCTTGGCGTGGTGACTACTTTACAGCACACACAGGGACAATGGGGAACAAAAGTAGCCACCCTCCAGAAGGAAGGACAGTGTCAGCATGAATTCAGAGATGATTTGAGGATCTACAGCTGAGTGATACACAAATAAGATACATTTTTGTCCCTAGCTAAGGTATTTTAATGGATTTGTAGGATTTAACTCCTCCGTTTCGTATAACTTTAATAAAGCACTGCACAATTCAGTAGACCAGACCCACCACTTAAATTTCAGGCTAAAACTCAGTCACATAGGTTAAGTGATGAATTCCGATTGGTTGATATTGATTATAATGCTTTGCACACAGTCAATTAACCTTTTACAGGCTCATACACAGAATTTTAGCACTTGCTACTCCATGACATCCTGAAAACATTACAGGTTGGAAGGTTTTGTTCGTCAAACATTTTTGTGGCACCATTATAATTCCACAAAAATGTGACACCATGCACAAGAGCTGCCGTAGGTACTGCGCCAATTTAATAACTCACCCCTGACTGGGTGTCCAGGTTTTTCACAGATTTACAACTCTGTAACCCAGGTGATTATAATGATATAAGAATGTTGTGCAAATTAGGTATTAGGCTAATCAAGGTAAATTAGTGGATCAAGCAAGAAACTTGTAAACAAATGTTCGTGTCTATACCAACCAATCACCAACTGTCATTTCTGCAGTCCATGTTTCAAGAACAAACAAGAATTAAAAAACAGGTTGCTGTGAGCCATATTTTTCTTATAGCACACTCTTCATACATGTGAAGTATGAAACGTGCCATATAAAGCTCACCACAGACACTGCAATCAGATTGGACAATCTGCTTCAGATCTACCAACAACTATGTAGTGCAAGGGCCTTCCTGATTGGCTACAAACTGATGTTAAAGTAGGTCCTTGTACTACAGTTTTTGAAAATCTAAAAAGGAGATTGTACAGTCAGCGTGTAACATATATGCTGAGCTTTATATTTCGTGTTGCCTGTAGCCATCAGTCTGTTGGCAACTATCATTTCTGATAGTTGGCAACAAGTTGGTTGCTATGGGCAACAAGAAATTTCATGTTAGCAAACGTATGATACATCAGCCACGGAATGATTCAACTGTCACATGTAGCTGAGCCCTCAGATATAAAAAAGAATAAATAAATAGTTGCTGAACTTAGCATGTTACTTCTCTTTCCCAATCCTTTAGATCACATGATGGCTCACATGCTGCAAACTAACATTTGTTTTTTGTAAAACCATTTAAAAACAAGAGAAGAATTCTTGATGTACACCAGACGGCCTTATTAGCATTGCAGCATTTCATAAGATCCCCACTAAAAAAAATCATTCAGCAACTGATGGAAGAGCTTTGTGTACTTGAGATGTGACCACTCTTGGGGGGCCTGAGTCAGGTCAGAAGTGCAGCACTCTTTTAAAAGAGATTCATTAATGATCTTAGATGGTGGATTCTGGGAACCTGTCAATACAGAGGCCATTTGCATGTGTACCAACAATGCTGAATTAGTCACTCGAATGTTTGTCATTTAATAAAGTGACACTAAACTCAGAAGTTAAATGCATTCAGGTATCTTAACTTACAACACAAATGTATCTTATTTGTGTATCACTCGGCTGTAGATCCTCAAATCATCTCTGAATTGGTGCAGATGCTGTCCTTCCATCTGGAGGGTGGCTGATCCGTCCCGGCTGCGGCGTCTCAGTATACGGCGAGCTGTAGCTCGCCGTATACTGAGCCTAGGGTGAAGGGAGGACGCTAGTTTGTGTCCTCCCGTTACCCTTAGGAGAACTATGGGGAAAAGCCCTGACCCCATAGTTCTCCTTTAAGCTTTCACTCCTGAGTTTAGTGTCACATGAACTGTATGCCATAACATGCTTTAGGACCCATTCACATTCATCCATTTTTGCCAGACACCTTTTCCATTCAAAAGAAAACACAAGTCAATGCCAGTGGAAACCCAAGTCAATGCCATTTACTATGCGTGCCTGTGCATTTTAACATGTGTTGCAATCTACCGTTCATGTCAACCCATGTGAATGTGCACTAGTATATTAACATGCACTTTAGATACATTTCCATTAATTTCAATGGAAACTGCATCACCAAACGTATAAACGAGCCCTTAGTGCAGGATACCTTCAGATGGATTATATTCATGTCAGGTTGCTATGCTAAACCATAGAATCATTTTAAGTGCCAGAAAAAAAAATTAAAATTAAAAAACAATAACCAAACATCAGCCAACACGAGCGCTCAGGCTAGAACTAGGCCACAAGTGCTTATGTTATGGTGTGCCACCTAAAATTCACACAAAGACGGGAATTAAAGTAGAAGTTAGAATTACTCTATGGACATCAAACAGCCATATAACACACGTACGTTGATAGATGCATAGCACCATGTTTGACCTCTGTCCTCACTCCAGTTGTCTAGTAATCAGCATTGGAAATCTGCTGGTTCTTACCAGCTACACCATGCAACCCATGGTGTCACTCAGGCCCCCTCATGCCATCTTTGACAACATCAGGGCACAGAGGAAGTGAATTCACATAGTTTCCAGTCAGCTTCACAAAATGTAGATAGCATGTGGGGGCTGAGCGGCACCATAAGTTGCATGGCACCACTCATGAATGGTTGGTAGTATCCAATGACGAATGCAGGACAACTGGAGTTTGGATAGAATGGTTAAAACACAATGTTATCCATTTCCATATACAACGGATGTGTTCTGTCTGTGAATTTAGGTGGCTCATCATAACACAAACACTTGTGGCCTAGTAATTCTAAGATGAACTTCCACTTTACCCATAAACAAAAACACACCACATTGCCCAATACTTGATCATTTTTGCAACAGAGGCCTGTGATGACACATCTATATTAAAAGAAAAACAAACAGACGCTCTCCGTTCTTCAACATTTACACCACAAGTCAACATCCTTCTGGAAGCTATGAAGAAAAGTGGAATGAGGCTCTAATAAGGCTACCTAACAAGATGGGAACCAGCTGACTTAAATGATTGAAGAAATGACAACCTAATACAAGGATAATATATATACACACACATATACCAAGTTACTGGTTCAGGCCTTTGGCAGGAGAAGAGGTTGACTGAGCAAAGGAGCAAGCCTTGACGGACATTATTGCTATCAGAATGGGGGAAATTGACAAGAGGAGGAGAGAGACAGGGAGGAATTGACAAGGTGGGGGGAGCCTGTGCTCAGCAAACACAACCCAAAAAAGAATTACAAATGGTGCAGAGCTTTCCCAGATGCCCTTCAAGCCACACGAGGACAAGACGATCTACGACGGCAAGATAAACAGGAGCAAAACCTGTACGAATATAGGAAAACGAATGTGAAATCCATGCACTCGTGCTGAACATCTGAGCTGGGTATCCATACATCAAATAAATACACACCAACAATAATATATTACAGTCATCTGGTCAAAATGTAGACAGATCTATCGGATCTACACCCGGCATGTTCCTTGGCCTAAAACACAGTAATCTGTGTATATGTGGTATGGATTTTTTTGAAACAGGTAAGCCTCCCTGACATAATAGATGGACAGAAGTATAGCCAGTGCCTAAACGCTTCTAAATCTGCACATTCATGGGGTGGCCTATGTCTAGCTTCCAACAGAAGATGGGATGGACGCAGGTGAATATGCATTCTTCGACAGCCAGTTCGCCCACATCGTTCTATGCCTACACGTAGTAGTTTCACCTTGCAGAGCTGGAAGTGCTCGGACTGGAGGGTCTCTGGGATGTCCACCTCCCTGATTCCAGGTTGGGATGAAGAAGACGACGAAGAGGAGGAGGATACGGCTGTCAGGCCGTCCAGCACCTTTTTAAATCTCCTCATGGTCAACCTTCCCTTCGGTGCCTCTTGTTCCACCACCGCCACCACCACCTCCTCCTCCAGATCCCACTCTCCTCTCACCCCCCACCTTTCCTCTCCTCCTCCTTTTTTTTTTCCCCCTTTTTTCTGTGGCTGATGGGCACCCCACACACA